AAAAATGAAATTATTCAAAGATAAGATATTGGAAGTATAAAAAATTCACCTATTTATATGTCACAATCCAAATTAATTTGTCCGTCCAAATTAAATTTATTTTAAAAATCAATCTTTCTTAGTGCTTCAAAGTTGGTATTGGGTTAGATAACGGTTACATAACCTTTTTTAAAATAACTAACTATAAATATATTTTTCAAAGTTATAGCCACTTTCAAAAGTTTCAGAAAAACATAACTTTCAAGAATCTATCAGATAGGTAACGACTGTTCCAGATATGTGGGTATAGTTCCGAACACTGAGAAATCTTACAGAATCAGATTGCAACTTTAGATAATTATTAAATTTAAAAAATTTCCTTTAATTAAAGAAAAATATTTTCTAATACTTTTTAATTTAATGCTCGCTGCTATTCTTTTTACATTTGTTATAAATAATGTTTTTTTGGGAAACTATATCGAAGGGAAGATTACTTTTACTGACAGTAATAATATTAGTGAAAGTTTATAAATTAATGGTAATATTATAGAAACAAAATTACCAAAAATAGGAAAGAATATTGAAAATATTAAACATGAAAAAGCGACGGAAGTATTACGCCTTTCTGGAGAGGTATTTCTATTTTTTAATTAAAAAAATTCTTTTAGCTTTACCCAATTTGGTATAATTTAACGATGCAAATTTATGTTCCCGGTTTTGATGCACAAATTTCTGATGCAAACAATCTTACATTTGACTCTAATTTACTTATGAAATTTCGAGTTGAACAAAGTACAGATAGAATAGAATTAAATGCTTTAAAACTTATTTTTGATCATCAAAATCTTGAAAAATATAAATTAATTAGAGTAAATGAAGTAAATCATGAAATTAAATCAAAACAATTAAAAGTTATTGAAGTTAGAATAGATGAAGTTAATGAAAAGGTAATTTAATTACGTACATATTTCGGATGCAAATTTAAGCTTCTGTAAATTTTAATTATAAGCATAGATAGCAGGGGTGCATCTCGTCTCGTATCTCGTGTCTCGTATCTCGTGAAATCTCGTGTTTTTTAGAGGTCTCGTATCTCGTTTTTTGCCACAAGATACGAGATATTTTCAATCTATATCAGAGAACCGAAGAGATAAGCCCAATATTTTTATTAGAGCATTTACGGTATATATTTTTTAATAATTTTAGAGGAAATTTTAAAAATTCTATTTATTAGGTCTTTTTTGAGTTAGATGGAATTTTGGAGAGAGGAGAACACTTCCTTTTTCAGGTAATTTTAATATTTGAAAAAAAATTTTTAACTAGTAATTGTTTGAATGTATCTAGCTTTAAACATATTTCCCATTTAATATTCAAAAAAATCAAAAAACATTTAGCAGATCTCTAACCTAGGAGATTTACTTTAGAACTATAATTTTTACATAGATTCCATATTCTGGACCAATTTCCACAAAACTCTCTGGTCTATTTTTAACAACATACACATTCTCTGGTGAGAATAAATTTGCAGCTGCTACACATATGGAATCTATTGATGCTAGGAGAATGGTTTGTATAATATAATCTGGTGTAATTATTAAAATTTAGATACCTTGTCTAGATGAACCACATTTTAAAGCTATTTATCGACTCACTATTATTCATCCTTCTGGTTCTAAAGCTATTAGTAATGCAAAAGAACTTCGAAATGGAATACCAACGTAATTAAATATACCTATTTATAATACAACTTAATCTTTTCTTGAATATTTTATTTTGATATTCCATGTTTTAATGGAATATCAAATTATATCCTAACATACAGTAGTGTAGTACGAGTTTCGTACTAGTATTTTGTACCAATTCCGAGGTAGATTACTGTAATAATTTTGGTACGAGTGTCGAAGCACTGTGTCCCATTTGAGAGGGATTATTTATTTTCAAATTCAATAAATTTTTGTAGAGACAATGCAGAATGGATTCAAACTGATTTTGATGAGACACCTCCAATGTCTTCATATTTGTTAGCTTTAGTAGTCTCTGATTTTAATTATATTGAAGGATATACAAAACGTGGAATACGAGTTTATTAATATTGTTTTTCAAAAATAATAATATTTTTAGTTTCGTGTATGGGCACGGCAAGGTGCCTTAACTTTTACTTCTTATGCTTTAGAATCTGGAATTAAAGTTTTGGAATTTTATGAAGATTACTTTGGAATTGAGTTTCCAATTCCTAAATTGGATATGGTTGCAGTTCCTGATGCGGGTGCTGGAGGAACAGAAAATTGGGGATTGGTTACTAATAAATTAAAAATTATTATTAATAATTTATTGAGTCAATTTTTGACTCCAATAATATATGGAGTCAAAATTATTTTAAAAATTTTGTCCAATTTCAGGTCACATATCTTGAAAAATATCTTATCTATAGCCCAGAATTATGTACTATTCAACAAAAATTGCTTTTTACTTCAATTATTGCACATGAATTAGCTCATCAATGGTTTGGCAATTTAGTTACGATGAGTTGGTGGGATGATTTATTTCTTAACGAAGGATTCGCTTCTTTGATTGTAAATTTTGTATTTTTAAATTTAGAATAGAATTTTCTAAGGAATATTTGGGTACAGATGCAATCAGCAATGGAAAATTTCAAATGAGGGACTATTTCATTATTAGATATTTGGACACTGCTTTTGATGCTGATTCTAAGGCAACTTCTCATCCGATAATCCTTGAGATTCGAACGAAAGATGATTTTACTAAAGTTTTTGATTCGATAACATATCAGAAAGGTGCAAGTATATTAAGAATGATAGGAGCTGTGATGGGTGAACAAAGCTTTAAAAGTGGTCTAAAAGTAAATAATAATTTTTACAAAAAACATTTTTTACACTGGATTTTAATAAATTAAGATAATTAAGAAAGAATCTCGCAGTCAAAAAGTGATCTTTCAGACACAATTAAATTGTACTGGTTTAGATTTGGGATTTATTAAATCCATTTATATCCATTATATCCCTTCAAATCACTTATATCATAAAATCGATAAGGGATTATTGACATTTAGTCATCTTGCATCTTCATATACGATACTTGGATGAAAAATGACATAAAAACCCTGCTTAATTGATATACATAACTGCTAAATACATATCCCAATAAAAAATTATGTAGATATACCTAAATCAATTTAAATATCAAAATGCTAACCATACTGATCTTTGGAACGCATTAACAGAAGCAGTTCCTAAAAATCTACATGATGGTAACGGACAACCTTTAAATGTTAAATATTTTGCTAAATATTGGACAGAACAATCTGGTTTTCCCGTTGTACAGGCAAATTTTTTAGATTAAAAAACTTTAAATTTAGAAATTATTTACTTTAGGTAAAAAGAATATCTCCAAAAAAAGTTTTGTTAACTCAACAACGCTTTCGATTTAACTCAGAGGATAATAATAATAAGAAACATGAAATAAGAGAAGATGAAAAAGTTAATAATTGGGATATTCCAATTTGGTGGAGTATTAATGGTACTGATCAACCAATGTTATGGCTAAAAGATTGTACTGAATTAGAAACAATTGTTGATGATCTACTTGTTTTAAATACCCATTCACAAGGATTTTATAGAGTTTTATATTCTCCTGATCAGATGAAACAAATTAGTCAACAATTATTCAATAATCATAAAGTAATTTTTATAAATTATTAATTAATTTTTGATTAAAAAAGGAACTTTTAATGGCTAGCCGTGTACGTATTATTGATGATTCATTTAAATTAGCTGAAAATGGATATTTACCTTATGAAGTTTGTAATAATATTTTTATTCTAAAAAATAACGTTTAAAAGGATGCATTAAATTTGACTCAATATTTGACTGAAGAAGAAGAATATCCTCCTTGGGAAATAGCATTATCTAATTTTAATGTAATACAAAATTATTTTGACGATAAACCTGAAACTGAAGATTTGAGGGTTTGTATTTTTATATTAGAGACCGGACTGTGAATGTCATACGAGAATCTCGAAAAATTTTTTTGGATATTTTTATAGTATATTGATAAGATATTTAATTTAAAATTAGAACAATTTTTATTTAGATAGTATTCATAAAGTTATGCAGATGTTATAGATTTAAAAACATTATTCTGGTCAACTAAAAATGCTGGTTCGATCCCAGGCGCCGAATTACTTTAGCTTTAGCTGGTAGAAGAATAGCTAGCCCAGTTCAGAGGTCTAGTTGAAAGAATTCGGCAATTCCTAATCCTGAAAACTGCGAGTTAATTTTTTATGACGGCGCGATCCCAACTGTATGTATATGTTATTTACGTGAAATATTGTTTCGGTCTTCAGTTTAAATAAAAAAATTTTTTTCAAATATATTTATAAATTTAGGCTTATATTAAATTATTAATTGATGATATTTTTAATCGAGAATTGGATAAAATTTATAATTGGAAGCCAGAAGATGGAGATAAAGATTTTTTTAATAAGTAAATTGAACAAATAAAATAAATAATTTATCTATTAAAAGTTTACTTAATCAACGAATTATTCAAGAGATGTGCAATTTAAGAGATCAACGTTGTATTAATACTATTCTCAATATTTATCAACATCAATTTGTTAATTCTTGTAAATCATTTGTTACAAAAAAAGAAAACAACAATAATGCATTGTAAATTAATATTATAAAATATTATTACTTTCCTAGGAATTATTTAAGCTACTATTTATAAAAATAAATAATAATTATCCCCAGATAAAAACTCGGAATAATTAATCCAAATAAATCGAATAAAAGCAATTAAAGACAATTAACCTTCATTCGCTCATCTCATCAATGGTTTAAAAAAATAAACAAAATTCTTTAAAAAATTAAAAAAAAAATATCATATTTTTATTACTTTAAGATTTGTCATTTGACAAATATTAATATAAAAAAATTAGTAGTTATTAAAAATTGGTACAAAATAAGAATTATAATTTTTATTTAAATTAGTAGGTTATTAAAGATTATATACTATTTACTTTTATTTTTAGATTATTTTCTCCACCAAAATTTCCAAATAAAATGGCTAGTCAATGTTCTAAAGTTCCTGCACCTTTTAGAACATTAATATATTGTGAAGGTGTACATTATGGAACAGAACAAGATTGGAATTTAATTTTTGAATTATTTAAAAATGAAAATGTTCAAGTAGAAAAAGAACGTTTGCTTAATGCATTGGCTTGTTCTAGAGATACACATTCATTAAAAATGTAAAAAATTATTAAATTATTTCTTTTAAAATATTTAAACGTCAATCAAAAAATTAATTTTTTAAGGCTTCTTACAATGGCAATTGATGTTAATAATACAAGTATTCGTTTACAAGATAAGCCTCTTGTTTTTAATTATATTGGAAATAGAATTATTGGGAAGAAAATTATTTTGGATTTTTTTATTGATAAATGGCCAAGAATTTATCAAGGGTATGAAATATTTTTTAAATAATTGTTGATAGAATATACATATTATGTGTTCCCATATGCCCGCAAATTTTTAGTGTCCTTCTTTCTTCTCGCATACAGATTAAAAATAGTCAAGGATAATTAGATTATCAATAATTAAGGTTTTTAACCGAATCGAAACGAAAAACACAAGATTTCCGATTCGGGTTGACAGTTCGGTTTCGGTTAACGAATTTGATAAAACCGACAACCTACATAGGTATACCCATCAGGGATGTCACGGGTTGAGAAAAATGTCGGGTCGGGTTTCCAAAATTTTTCTCGGATCGGGTTTCGGGTTGAGCAAAAAGTCGGGTCGGGTTTTAAAATTTTTCTTCGGATCGGGTTTCTGTTCGAAAAAAGTCCGGGTTGTCGGGAAACGGAATTCCCGACAAATTGGATTTGAAGATCCAATGATTAAGATGATTTCATGGTCATTTACACAAATTTTGTTTGTTACTAGAATATTCTTTAATTGTAAAAATTTAATGGTTTCATAGGGTTTTTAAACGTGTCCGGTAGTTTCGTCAGAGGTTAGTTTCGTCAGAGAAAATTTTCGTCAGAATTAGTTTCGTCAGAGGCTCTTCTCGTCAGAGGTCAATTTCGTCAGAGGGTTGTTTCGTCAGAGATGAGTTTCGTCAGAGGTCCTTTTCGTCAGTAAGGCTCCCTTTTCAAAAATCTAATTAAGCGTCGGTGTTATGACTTATGCTAGGTTATTTGTTTCTGGGTCGATTTAGACAAATGAGGTGTCTTTCGAAAGAGCTCTGAAAAGCGATTTTTGTGATGAAAAATTCGAGTATACAAATGCAGCTCATTCGAGTCAGCTTGGCGGGCTGACTCCTGCTCGACGAGGTGATACCTCCCTGTGCTTTTTCAGTATTCAGGAGTCTTTAATTCGGTCCCGGAATGTCGGATAAACTTCTTCCACAACTAATTCGACTCAGTTTTTAGAGCTTTTTCGAATGATACCTCATTTATCCAAATCGATCCAGAAACAAATAACCTAGTATGTGTCATAATACCGCCGTTTTATTAGATTTTTAAAAAGGGAGCCTTACTGACGAAAAGTACCTCTGACGAAACTCATCTCTGACGAAACAACCCTCTGACGAAACTGACCTCTGACGAGAATGACCTCTGTCGAAACTAATTCTGACGAAAATGTCCTCTGACGAAACTAACCTCTGACGAAACTACATAGCACCTTTTTAAAGTATTGATTTAAAATCAAATTTAAAACACAAATTTGATTTAACTGCCCTATATAAATTAAATTAATCCTTGACAATTATTAGAACTGACATTTTAAGAAAAATTTGTAAAATTTGTAACTAAAAAATTTTGTAAAAATTTCGAAGATTATTTATACCTATAGTTGTCGGTTTCAAACAAACCGAGCCGAAAAACACATGATTTTAGGTTGGATTTGTCAGTTCGGTTTCGGTTAACCGAAGAATTTGATGAAACCGGCAACCCTAGGTATAGCCATTATATTTTATTTATGTAAAATAAATGTCCAAAACATTTTTTAAAGTTTTAAAGACGAGCCATTCTTATTATCTAAAATTATTTCTTCATCAATTGTTGGCAAATCTCAGAGAGTTATTGACCAAGTAGAGAACTTTCTTCGTGAAAATGAAAAAACTACAATGTAATTTTAACAAAAAATATTAGAATATTTTTCTTTAATTTTTAAAGGAATTTGGATGTTTTTAAACAACGTTTAGAAGTTATTCAAACAAATATACAATGGATACAAAAAAATTTTAATAGATTGTCTCAATGGTTTAAGTAATTAAAAATTAAAATAATTTTTAAAAATTAATAAAAATATAGAAACATAACGGCAAAAATGGAAAAATTTCAATGTTTAAATAAGATGAAGAAGAAAAGAACAAAGAAGTCGCCGTCAAATTTCGACATTTTAAATATTATAACAACATATTTTAACAATGATAGTGAATACAAAACTTAAGTTAACAATTCACGCGTCTTTGAAAATTTTTAAATGTTTTATTATATATAAATTTTATTAAATTTTGGAGAAACAAAAACAAAAATTATTTGCGTTAAATTTTGGCATTGCGCTGCGTTTTGCATTTTTTGAGATTGTCTCTTGCGCTCACCACTGGATAACATAAATAAATAGCGACGAGAATTAATTTTCATATTCCTTTTAAGTTTCATTTAAGAAAAATTTTTTTATATTTATGAAAAAAATTTTTACACAATTTTTACACAAAAATTTTTACACTTCCAATGAAAATCGAAATTATACATAAGAAAAATTCGAAAATCGGAAATCAAAATAGCATAAATTAATATTATCTAAAGTTAAATTTTTTTTTAAATTCAAAAATGAATTTAAAAATTATCACTTCCAATTATTTCTTCAATTTTTATCATTACCAAAACATTTGCCATTTTTGAGATAATGTGTGCAACATTGTTCTTTTTTCTCCACTTTCTCTTCAAATAAAAAATCGTTAAAAATTTAAATATCAAATTACAAATATTATTTTTAAATGAATAAAGCTCTAATTGAATAAAATAAATAATAAAAAGTTTAAATAATTTTTTACAAACCCCCATTACTAACACAACAGGTATAAAGATCACAAGGCAAACCAAATGTGCAACATTGTAATTTAGATTTAAAATGACTCTTAGCGCAGCATTGTTGTACATCACATACTTTAAAATAAAAAAAATCACGATATATATTTAATATTTTGTCCATATCCTTAAAACTAATAAACGGTAGCTTCACATGGCTATTGATTAGCGTTGCACCCCGAACGCTAGTGACGGGTAGGCGGGATATTTTTAAATACAACTTATAATTAAATATCTAACATATCTGCTCAATTAATTATCAAGGATAATTATTGTACTAACATCTCTCTGTAGGGGAAGTGAGGTTTAAGTGAGGGTAATTATTCGAGAATAGCACTGCCGTGGAGTAGTGATTAATACACATGACTTCACTTTATGGAAGACCCGGGTCTTGAGCAGTGCTGGACGCAATTGAAAAAAAGTAAGTCAAAACTCAATTCGCAGTCCGCAATCGCGTCATGCCCTGGTCTTGACTTAATTATAGAAAAAACTATTTTAGCAGTTTTAATTTACCTCCACCAAGGCCTACACATCCATTATTTTCCTTAGTCAAAAATAACAAGATTGAAATAATTATCAACACTTTTGCAAGCATTTTATTTAATTATTTAATTAAAATAATTTTCAATTTTTTGAATAATAAATTTTGAATTGATTTAGTATTTTTTGAATATATTCATAAATTAAATTAATTTATGAAAATAAATAGTAAATACACAAAGTTAGCATGATAATAGCACGTGCAAACCTTATTTTGTTTTGGCAAACCCATCCATAGAATAATTCATTAATCCAAAAAAAATTATTTACATAAAGAGCGGAAAACAAAATACAGAAAAAAATAAATAAATAAATAAATTTTATTCAGACCAAAGGGTATACAATATACCACTAAAATGGTTGAGTGTGTACAAATAAATGTGGAGTTTGGATTATAAAGAGTTTTAGACATTTAAAAGTAAATAAATAGGCACAAGTAGTTAAGTTAATTTAGGAGATATTTTAAATTTTTGCTTAAAAATGTGTTTATTTAAATTAACTTTTGTTTAAAAAGGGAGAGAGAAAAAAATATTTGTATATGTGATTGTAAAAAAAAAGTATGTAAACTTAAAAAAATATAAATGTATTGATAAAAAATAAATTGTTGAAAAATATGTGAACTAACTAAAAAATAAATGGATTGACAAATACAGGGTGCGTAAAAAGTTCCCGGAATTTTTAAAATTTCAACTATTGGGTTTAAACATTGATTATTAAAACAAAATTCGTTCACAATCATATTCAGCACTATTTTTGGTTCAGAAAACATTTAGTCTATAAAAAATTTTCAGAGAATAGATGTCAAAAAGTCCTCTCAAAACTCCCCCAAAAATGTCGTTTTTTGAAGCGCTTGGTCGCAGCTGGTCGGCTAAACGGGTGTTGTTTACTTAAATGAAAATTTTTACCGTCCAACGCTGTCACAATATCAGAAACTGTCACCAATAAGTCCGTGAGACTAATTGGTGTGTAAAAAAGACTTTTCACGCAATCTGTGATGATTCGGGGAGGAATTTGTGCCATTGGAAGACACTGTTGGTTTTTATCGCCAAAAACGTCAAAATCAATGCTTATGTCTATCAAAATGAAATTTTGATGAATGTTTTACTTCCCTGGAAGCATCAACATTTTGGTGAAAAAGATTTTATTTTACAACAGGACTTGGTACCAGCACATGGATCTAAAACAACAATTAACCTCAATGCAAAGTTGTTTCATGGATTTTGGGGAAAGGATATTTGGCCCTGTAACTCACCGGTTCTCAATCCAATGGATTTTCGGTCTGGTCTATGTTGTAGCAGAGACTCCCCTGCACACGACACACGTCAACAGAGCCGCTTAGGACGGCATTAAAATATTCCTGGGGATCAATAACAGAAGAGGGTTGCGCGACCAACGAAGGAATTTTTCTTCTGTGTTTGGTTGCGTTTATCTCGGCTGTCGTATCTCATTTTGAAAATTTGTTATGATTATTTATTTACATGATCCTTATAAACGTTTTGTATGTGTAAACTTATTTTTATTATGATATACAACAAAATAAATCCATTTTGATTAATTCCGGGAACTTTTTACGCACCCTGTATATGTATTTGGGGGGGGGGGGTGTGGAAAAGGCGTAAATTAAAAAAACATGATGAGTGAAGAAAAGGTTAAAACGCTCATTAAATTGCTAGGTGAAATTGTAAATAAGTTAAGGGCAATATACCCATACTTTTAGTCAAATTATGGGATTAATTCAGGGATTCTTCAGTGATTAGGTTTGAAATTTGGTTTGTTGAATTTAAGGTAGTATTTTTAATTTTAACAGAATTTGCGGTAGGCTATGTTTTAAATTAATTTTAAAACTAT